TATTGTAATAGGATTTACAGCACTTTATTTTTTCAAATAATCTCTAGCAGCAGTAAACAATAAACTAACAACTAAAATAAGCAATGCCCATAAGTTGTTTGCAAACCAATTTACTACGTCTTTTGTTGCAGACAATAACCAAGAAACAATAGAACCTATAATACCTGGTAATGCAGCTGCTAATTTTCCTGCAAGAAAAGATAATAATTTTCCAAGATTTTTTAATTGTTTTTTTATCCAGTCTTGTACACCACCACCTTTTGATGGAGGAGAAGGAGAAGGAGAAGGAGAAGTAGTTCCACCAGTAAATGCTTCAACAATAACACCAATAATCATTCCAAAAGCAGTTAAAACACTAACTATTGTTATTCCTTGTTCTCTGAATAATGTTCTTATTCTTTCACCTAATGTTTTGTCTTCGTTTAACATTTTATGTATTGTTTGTTTAAATCTGTTTACTTGACTACGTAGTTTTTCTTTATTAATATTAATAACTTCTAGTCTTGCACTTCTCTCAGATTCCAACTCTCTTATTCGACTACTTATTCTATCTATTTGAAATTTATTATTGTCTTCTTTAGCTTGTTCTAATTTGGCATTTTCTTTTGCTAAGTCTTTATTTGTTTCATTCAGTTTTGCTAAATTATTTGCAATCTCATCTTCCGCTGTTGTAAATGCTTTTATTATACCATCCATCTCTCTTTTTGTCATTTTTGTTTGTGTTTCTTCATTTATTAAAGATGTTCCTTGTTCAATAAATGAAGTTTCTATTTCTTTCACATATGTTTCTGCATTACTTGCTGTTTCTAATAATTCTTGTCCTTCTTCTTGTGTAGATATTTCTTGTAATGGAATTTCTATATTATCGAGTTCATTTAACATTCTCTGAAACCCTGCTCTACCTTCTCTTAAATTATCAGATATTTTATAATCATCTACACCTAAAACATCCCTGACAAAATTAACACCGTATTCTCTTTGAAGAGTGCTAAATTTATAAAACTTTAATACTCCTTTTTGGTAATATGTTAATGCAATATCATTACCTTTTTCATCTTTTACATATAAGATTTGTCTTCCCTTATGATTTTCCCCAACAAAAAAAACCTCTTCATTACGTATAGTTTCACCATTTTTTTTATAAAATTGTTTAATCATTTTTTTTGTAGTTTCTTTTTTACGAATTTTAACATCATTTTCTGATAAATCTCTTGATATTTCAAATTCCTTATTTATATTATTTTGAAACTCTTCATCATCTTGAAAAGACGTTTCTTCTTCTTCATAATCATCATCATAATCATTATTTTTAAACTCAGGATTATCAAACTCATAACCTCCTTCAGCCATTTTATTCATCTAAAATATTAGATAATAAACAATAAAAAGAACCTGTTAAAAACAACTTAAGATAAAAATAATTAAATTTTTTATTTAACATTATTTTTACATTTTTTACTAATTTTTCTTTTGTTTCTTCATCCATTTATTTAATTAAAAATTGATTCATAGTTTGGTGGATTTCCGTTATCAACTAAAATTATTTTATTAAAGAAAATCAAAGATTTTCCATTTTTTTTTTTAATTCGTTTTTTACTCTATTTTCTGTTTCCTCAATTAGTTTTTTTCTTTCATCATCTGGTAAACTTTTTAAAATTACTTTTTTTTTATTTTTTTTCATCTCATTAAATTTTTCTAATTCATCTAAAATAAGTTTAAATTCATCTACACTTATCTGTCCGTCAGTTAAAGATTTTGATATTAAATCTTTTATGCTGTTTAACTTGCATTCTGCCATTGTTTTAATTTCATAATGTTTTTTTGATTTTGTTGTCAACTTTCTTCTAATTAATTTAACTAGACCTCCTAAACTTCCACATACAACAGCTGCAATTTGTATGGGAAGTAAGATAGGAAAAGCTATTCCTATACCAGCTAAAACAACAGATGTCGAAATTAAACTTGTATCAACACCATCAGTAACATTAACTCCGCGTTTATATTTTTTGTATAGTGATTTACGTTTATCTCTCTCATTTATTAATGTTTTTTCTATTTCTGTTATTTTTTGTAGTCTATAATTTTGTCCATCTTCTATAGGTAATTCTGGATATAAATCAGGAGCTGTAGGTTGTTTCATTTTTTAAAGTAAAAATTGATTTTTTTTTTTTTTTCTCTTAAATCCCACAGAATTCTTTCTTCGCCTGTTCTCCCGGTTTTTTTATTTATTTTTTTTTTGGAATTTTTTTGTTGTTTTTTGGGTGTTTTTAATAACGTTTTTTTCCAAAGTAAAAAAAAAATTTTTTTGGGAGTAAGAAAATTTTGGTGTTTTTGCGTTTTTTTTTGCTTTTTTTTTTATGAAAATTTAGGGCTCTTTTACTTGAAATGAGGGTAATTTTTTGGGGGTCAAATTTTTTTTTTTTTGGAGGGGGGGGGGTATAGGTGTGTGATATTGTGTTCCAATATCCCCCCGTGTTGCACATATTTTAGCTATCCAAGGTAAAAGGGCAATAACAAATGTTTTTTAAAACAACTTTTAAAAATATCTTCGAGAAATGAAAGCTTCTGAGCAAATGCAAATCCTTTCGTTATAACTAATATTTCCAAGGGGCAATACTTGTTAAAAATATTTGATCAGCACTACTTTCGAAAGTGTCAAAGACATTGCTGATATAAACTTATGATATAAGTTTCTTAAAATTCTGGCAAGAATTGTACACATGAGAGCACTTAATACAATGCAATTTTTCATATAATCAATATTTCCAAGGGGCATAACTCTTTCAAAAATAATTGATCAGCACTGATTTTCGAATTTGTCAAAGACATTGATGATATAAACCTATAATATAAATTTCCTATTAAATTAGGCTAGAATTGTACACATGAGCGCCATATAATCAATGTATCCAAGGTGCATAACTCTTTTAAAAATAACTGATTGGCACTGACTTTCGAACTCATCAAAAAAATTGATGATATAAACTTCATAAAAATCTGGCAAGAACTGTACACATTAAGAGTGCTCATAAGACAATTTTCCATATAATTAATATTTCCAAGGGGCATAACTCTTTTAAAAATAATTGATCAGTACTGATTTTCGAAATCGACAAAGACATTGCTGATATAAACCTATATATAGTTTCATAAGATTCTGGCAAGAATTGTTCACATGAGAGTGCTAACAATGCAATTTTCCATATCAATATTTCCAAGGAGCATAACTCGTTTAAAAATAATTGATAGGCATTGATTTTCGAACTCATCCAAGACATTGCTGATATAAAGCTATGACACAAGTTTCATAAAAATCTGGCAAGAATTGTACACATGAGAGCGCTAACGATGCAATTTTCCATATATTTAATGTTTCCAAGGGGCATAACTCTTTTAAAAATTATTGATCGGCACTAATTTTCAAACTCGTCCAAAACATTACTGATATAAACATATGATATAAGTTTCATAAAAATCTGGCAAGAACCCTACACATGGGAGTGCTAACAAGACCAGAAGGACGGCTGGACACCCGTTATTTCTATGTCCCCGCAACACGTTGCGCGGGGGACAATAATGATTCTATCATGAAAAACACTCATAGTATCATTATGCAGAACACTTGATAATCAGTACATATTAGTAACTTGAAAACAAAACTATGCATCAGCATAGCGGTTTGTTTTTCAGCCGAGAATATTTCAGGGTGCCCAGCATCTGTGTTAGTCTTAAAGCACAGGTGTAATACAACTTACAAAAAGTTCATAAGGAATGTCTTAAACTTGCAATTAGAGAGAGCTGTGTTGAAGACCTATTACTGTAACTTTATGATAAAGAACAGGGTCAGTCTTAAAAAATTATTTGTTTGATGTTGCCTACCCATGCATCATAGGGTTGGGTAGGTAGGTAGGGAATTTTTTTTTACCAACAACATATGTTATAGTTTTAGACAAGAAAACGACGTCAGAGCATGAAAAAAACTTTTAAAAATTTGAAACGATTTGTATCATAAAATTTTTCGGGTAGGCTGCTTTTTAGGGTGGGTACTGGGTAGGTAGGCAACATCAAACAATTCTTATTTAATTTTTGGCCCAGTAATAAAATCACTATTTCTTTACTTTGAGTTTTGTTAAGTGCATGAAGTGAGTTTATGTCATGAATTCAAACATCTTTTCTGTTTCTTTTCCATATTAGTCAAGTAAAATCAAATTTCCTGTATTCAATAAACACATAATAGTAAACAACGTTTAGCACTTTTTAAATGGATTTAGCCACTTTAAAGTCATATATTCATTCTATCAAATCATGGCAATTTCACTTCTGTTCATGCTTTTAAAAAATCCACAGAGAAAAAACCATTGTATTACTGTTGATATAATTAATATGGTTTGAAAAAGGGGTTGTAAATGCACTAATACCTTAACTGACCAAATTCTGGATGATGGCTGCTGAAAAATTTCATGAGAGGGAATGAAAGTTTTATCAATAATCTAAGTTTTGACAAAATAATGTTTATCTTTCAAGCATGGAATATATTTCAGGGAAAAATGTATTTCTTTCATGGGTCTAGGTATATGTATCATTAGTTTCTAAACTTTCGTTTCTAGGTACTGTTCAAGCCCAGTTGAATCACTAGCTATAATACAAATAGAAAAGGCAACACTTTCATCTAATGATCTTTGATGACTTTTTAGGATACATGTACAACTAGCATTATCAAGATTTTGACCTCAGGAAACTGCTTTCTTATATTTTGCAAATTTGCCATGCAAATTATTTCTTTTATCAAGAAAGACCTTGGAATACATGATGAAAAACTAATATTTATTGACAATATGACCAGTACCAATATCTGTATGGTACCAATGACCAGAAAACATTATGTACAAAATGCAAGGATGGATCAACAAAAACAAATCTCCTCCTACAGATACAGAGTTTGTTGTGTACTAAAACATGATCTTAAAATGAACTTTGTGATAAAGAGGTTTATAGTATACCTGGTAGCAACTTTACAATGTCTGCTTCATCTTTCAGGTGGCTGTCATCAAAAAGACAAAACTTAATATTAGGTTTAATTGTATATTAGTCATATTAGTAGGTAAAAAAATTGATGGCTATTTCATTCATAATTTGGGAAGAAACGACATTACAAAAAGTTGTGTTCAAACCTGAAAAAGACTTGACTGCATTAATATCTTAATTATGAAGCAATCTTCTTGAATGACTTTGGGTCAGGTATCCATTTCAGCTCATCATAAAACATAACATAAAATGGATACATTTATACAAGGAAAGCAGTACAGAATCTGCTTTATAACTTTTTGGAAAGCCTGATATTGCCCTCAGTCTTTGGAGGCCGAGGGGTTTGTTTGCTGAGTCTTTTAAGTTTTCTATTAGGCCTAAATTAATATATTGATTGTTTCCCCAATCCCAACCCTGCCAAGCCAGGTGTGGGTAGGTTGGTAGGGAAATAATATTATTTTTCCAAAAAGCTTGAACATTATCGGACGATCTGGCAAGCCTGAAAATCCAAAATGATTAAAATAATATTTGACTTAGTTTTGACAATAAAATTTTACGAGTAGCACCATTTTAGCAGGGTCGGTTGGGATTGGGGAAACAAACAATATTTTATTTTAGGCCTTACCTGTAAAGTGTTTTGTAGAATGTTAGTTTTTCTTGTCGTCATTTTTCTTTGTGGTCATGGTTAAGCACTGTTGAAGTCCAGATATTTGTTGGTTAGGCACAATTTCGCTACATAAAATTTTTTAAGAAATAATTTTATTTTACCTACATTTTTTATGTACCTAGCTAAAAATAAATCTGTCAGGAGGTGAAGAGACAGGACACAAGCATGTTTGTCCATAATGTTCCTCTTTTTTTTCAGCAACTTTGCCTTTCAAAATATGACCTTCCTTGATTGTAGTGTGAACTATAGGTTAATAATTAAGCTATTTACTGTTGTAATGATGGAACCAGTTCTGTTGATGGATCATTAAATGTTGAGTTCGTAACTACCGAATCATCATCTGAATTGTCTAAATCCATTTCAAAATCTCATCATCTGCAAAGACTGAAATAAATTAGAAATATTATTTTCACAGTGGACAAATTTGTATGTTAATTGGTTTTTTTTTTTTATTTTTGATATTTTTGACAATATCCATTGGTCTATTCACTGATGCTTATTTCATGAAAAAAAAATGCCACTATAAGAGATTGATGGACTCAAACTTCCTTCAAAATACATTGTGGCATACATTAGGCCTTCTTTAAATGTTTAATATCCCCACCAAATAATATTTCTAGACAAATCTTTCCTGACATGGTTTATTTTGTCTATCCACGTCATTTTTTAGCACATATAAGTTTAAATGGCAAGTAACACTGTTAAAATCTGAATTTAGTAATCAGAAATGACCAATTCGCCAAAGCGGTTATGTTATAGATTGTATAAAAATGTTTTTAAATTTGAACATTATTTGTCAGTGCTAACACTCAATTTATTAATAACCTAGCTTGTGTAAAATTAGATGTGGGAATAACCGTTTGCCAATTGAGACGGGAAGGTGGCACAACATACCGAGATCTGATAGATTGTGTCACCTTTGCGACTTAGTTGACATCGGTGATGAATACCATTATATTATGTCATGTAATTTTTTCAAATATGAAAGAAACAAATATTTACCACAATATTGTAATACTAATGTAAATGTTATTAAATTGGAACAAGTATATTCAACTCGAAATTGTGTTGAACTTGAGAAACTCTGTAGATTTATTAAATGTATTTCTGTGAAAGTCTATCCTCCTGGTTAAAACAACTATTGTATATTTATTTATCTTTTGTCCAAATATATATTATAATATTAATGAACAATAATTTGTATTTCACACATGCTATATTCAATATTTGTTATTATTGTAATATTATATTCTCTGTAACTACATGAACTATGTCATGTATATATTTGGTTTATGAGAATATTTTTAAGAAGATCATTCATTCATTCATTTATTGAGGTCAAACGATACACATTTTTTTACTAGCATTTTAGTGATTTTTAGGCATTTATGCATATGAGCCTGTTTCTAAAAATAGACACAATTCAACAAAACCTAAATTTAATTTTTACTTAAATTCATTTATATATACTAGTATCATGAGTATTATAAGATTTCAAAAATATAAAAAATATTTCAAAAGTTACGACATGCCATTTGGACAATATTTTGGATTTTGCATGGTTTTCTGGCAGACTGTCTCTTTTAAAATAGACTAAATAACAAAATGAACAAAGAAACCTACAAGATATAGATGCTTTGTCAGTGCCACTTTACTTTAATAAATACATCCCCTGATTTCATTTTTGACTAAGATGTCAATAAAAGGATAACAGTAATTACTAAAAAATATTGGACAGTGCAAAAGACCCTACCACCTGTACGATTGAACCTGCAGAAGTTTAAAAATAAATGGAGAATGTGTCAAAGTCAATGAACCATAATTAGGGGGTGGGGTTATATAATCTCAAAGGAAATGAAACTTGCAAATACCAATACATTTGCATACCGTAATCATTGACTTAACATAAGTGGTTCATCTTAAACTGACCTAATCACAAACTAATACATGAAAACTAAGCAAAAGTTTCAAAGTCAATAGACCATGAATGAGGGGGCGGGGCCAAATAATCTCCATGGAAATGAGATATGCCAATGCTTATACAACTGCATAACAAATATCATTGACCTACCACTAGTGGTTCCCCATAACATGCATAAACTGACCTAATCACGAACTAATACATGAAAACTAAGCAAAGTTTCAAAGTCAATAGACCTTGACAGAGTGGGTGGGGCCAAATAATCTCCATGGTAATGATATGTGCCAATGCTAATACAAATGCATAAAAAATATCATTGACCTGCAACTAGTGGTTCCCCATAAACTGACCTAATCACAAACTAATACATGTAAACTAAGCAAAGTTTCAAAGTCAATAGACCTTGACTGAGGGGGCAGGGCCAAATAATCTCCATGGTAATGAGATGTGCCAATGCTAATATCATTGACCTACCACTAGTGGTTCACCATGAACAAGACCTAATCACAAACTAATACATTGTTGTCGCCACCGCCGGAAACAGCATACCTATGTCTCGATTTTTGACTCCGTCAAGGCGAGACAAAAACCAGTAGAAATAAAATGCTTCGCTGAGCGCAGCCTGATACGACCGCAGAGGTCGAACCCTGAACAGTTTGGGCAAATTTGGACACAATTTTCAAGCTTGATACTGTCTGAATTTGGATTGTGATCAAATTTTTGACATAATATAGGTTTCTGACACAAAATAAATGTGGTCAAAGATCTTATAAATCCATTGCGCAATACTGTGCAATTGAAGATTTCTTCTTGAAACTTTTCAAAAATTCGAAATTTTAAAAATTTTGAAAAAAAATATGAATCCCTTAAAAAAATTGGGAAAAAAATCCCCCCCCCTCCACCCACACCCCCCCCAATTTTTTGAAACCCCCCTTGGAGCAATAACCCCAAAACTCAATCCCAGCCTTTCCTTTGTAGTATGGAACCTTGTAGTACAATTTCAGAAAGATCCATACACTTACACACAAGTTATTGTCTGGAAACTAGAAAAATGCTTCTTTTTGGCCCCTTTTTGGCCCTTAATTCCTAAACTGTTGGCCCCCATAACCCCTAAAATGAATCCCAACCTTCTACTTGTGGTATTAAACATTGTGGTACAATATCAGAGCAATCGAAATACTTATACACAAGTTATTATCTTTGTATCTATGGAAAAATTTAGAAAAGGTTTTAAGTAATTTGCGGTAACGAAATCCCTGACTTAATAATTTACTAGTAATACATAGATGATGCTCACTGAAATCCAAAACGTCACTACAGACACGAGCATAGCGAACGAGTTGGGATATATAACATCGTAAGACGGTGCCAAAGGAACATCACCATCCAAAAAGGGAAAATTAACAATAGGGAAAGAAAAATCATCCCTTTTGTCCTAAATTTTTGTGTAGATTTCTGCTGTACTCCTGAAATATCTAAATCTAGGAAAGGACAGTTATTGCTGTTAATATAACATTTATTTAAAGTAAGACTGTTTTGTGATTATAAACATTGTGTTTAAGTTTATGAAATAAACAATTGGTTGAGGCAAACTAAAGTTAGAGAACGGAAATGACAGATTTAGCAATTTTTCCATTTATAAAGGGGCATAACTCAAGAACGGTAAAAGTGACGCCACCCAATTTAGAACTTGATCTGTGTTTTGTTGTAATAAGCATAAGTTTTATAACATTTGGTTGAGGCAAACTTAAGTAAGAGAACAGAAACCAATTTTGGGGATGTACTTATGCGACAGACGGACAAGGGTAACACATACCTCCACTGCTACAGCAGGGGCATAAAAATGGTATATTGCATCTATCTTTTTATAGTAACATTGTTTATAAAGCTAACAAGTCTAGGGACTGTCCTTCAAAACTTTATTTTTGACTTTATAAACTTATTGATATTGTCAAGGATTTGTATTTGTATAAATCCTTGATATTGTTATAATTAATAATGTATCTTTTGCTTTTCTGTCTAGTTCTTAAGAAAGTATACTTTCAATGGCCAGATTTGTGTACATTTCATTCTATGAACAATTTAAATTTCAGGCATTTTGTAAAATGCCTTTCAAATTTACCAGACATTTTATAAAATGCCTAAAAAAATCAGTCAAAATATTAAATACCTCAATTTAGAAAATGCCTGTTACAGTTCTGTATAATTCTTTGATACTGATTATTTGTCTTTTATTTACCTTATGCAGAGACATATAATACATCATATGTCTCTGCCTTATGTTAATCCACTGATCTGTATTAAAAAAGGGGGAGGGCTGAGATATCAAAAAACAAGTTAAACTCCAACACATATTTTATATGCCTGTTCAAAATCAAGACAGTGGTTGTCTTTTGTCATATCTTAAATAATGCTTTTTGTTTTTGGTTTTGAGATTGTGTCTAGTTTTTACAGCTTTTGTAAACTCTGGAAGATTTAGAACTTGGGAGTGAAGTTGAAGGCACCTGTCTATCATGTCTATAGTATAGCTGAAAACTGAACCACATGTTAATGCCCTCAATATGTTGTAAAACAAAGATTTTTTTTTGTAATTTACCTCTGAGACTTTAATTGGACTATTATACTAGTACCAATGTGGGTTAGACATAAATTATTACCATCGAGCTGATAGGCGGCAACTTTGCGGGATTTATTTGGAAAGAGGGAAAGAAACCAATTGAACATTGCAAGATCTAAAAACCGCTTACAATGACGTCACATGGTAGATTTATACAAACGATACACCTGTTTAAACATGTATCTGTTGGAACCAATGCCATTATTGGAACCTTATATATTCTTCTAAGAATGTCTAATAATAATTCTCAGGGCCATAACTAGGCCTCGGGAACAGACGATGCAGGGGTTTAGGGGCCGCCAACTGAGGCCCCGGCCGAAAATCACCCCCCCCCCCTGCCGAAAATATTAATATTAAGGTTCTATATATATCTTGTTACCTCCGTTTTCTGTATCATACTTATCGTTTTTGTGACGTCGATTCGGTATCCAAAAATGAGCTGTTCTCTGTACTATTATTTAAGATTGTATATAGTTTTAATCACAAAGTTTTTTTCATTGCACTAAATAAGTATATTTTGTTTAAATTGGGGTAAAATTTATAAATAGTCCACCGTATGCGACAATATGTAATCATCGGATGTCGATGGAATATTGTATATTGTATAGATCTGTATACCTAAAGAACTGAGAAGAAGAAGAAGAATTTATTTTGTCCAAGCCTTAACTTAACTCTGTATCTTTACATCCTTCATAGGATAACCAATGTAAAACCGTCAGGGGCGGGTCCAGGTAAGGGCGTAATGGGCGTACGCCCCCCCTTTTCAAAAAAAAAAAAAAAAAAAAAACTATCGTTATCTGCTTATATTGTATTGAATATGGCAATTTATCATATTTATTAATTAAACACATACTCTGATTTCTTTTATACTGATTCCCCCATCCGATTGGTGGTCTTGGACACCTTTTTTAAACAACCAAAGCGGTAAGTAAATCTATACATGAAATGGTTTGTTTTGTGTGACACTTCCCCAATGGCCATTCTACATCTACCCGGGGGATACTCACTATATATATGATACCGGGTATGTTCCGACAAACGGGGTTGCATAAATCAGCTAAATTGTCTAAAATGGGGTTATGTTTTTTTCGCCTTGCATTGGAAGGGGTCAGATTTGACTATCTAGAACAGGGTATTATAAATACAATGTTACACTATTGTTTCAGATAAGGGTGAATGTTTGGTACCATTAAAACGTTTAAGCCCGCTGCAACTGTTTGCACCTGTCCCAAGTCAGGAATCTGATGTTTAGTAGTTGTCGTTTGTTGATGTGGTTCATAAGTGTTTCTTATATAGATTAGACCGTTGGTTTTCCCGTTTGAATGGTTTAACACTAGTAATTTTTGGGGCCCTTTATAGCTTGCTGTTCTGTGTGAGCCAAGGCTCCGTGTTGAAGACCGTACTTTGACCTATAATGGTTTACTTTTATAAATTGTGACTTGGATGGAGAGTTGTCTCATTGGCACTCATACCACATCTTTTTATATCTACTAAATTGAAAACAACGTTCAAAACCCGCAATTTTTATACGTGTGCATGCAAAACAAATTTCTTGGTAAAGGGGTCTAAATACAGCACAAACAACATTTTCCAAAAGACCAAAACAGTGAAAAGGTATATTTTAACAAAACGGGTATATATATATATGATCCGTTCATCCTATTTTGACTCCTCAAAATTCAAGAGTCTATCCTAAATTGAGGTAAATTGTATGGCTTTCCAAATACCGTTTCGATTCCTATTTAAGATCCATTTATTATATCGGTGATCCGTTTATTTGGCAATCGCCAATGGCAGTCAGCAGGGTTTAAGAACATTTGTTGTTCGACCTGTTAGTCAAATGCGTTTTGTTAAAATATACTTTTTCACTCTTTTGGTCTTTTGGAAAATGTTGTTTGTGCTGTATTTAGACCCCTCTAACAAGAAATTTGTTTTGCATGCACACGTATAAAAATTGCGGTTTTTATCCAACGCAATCATAGGTTTGAACGTTGTTTTCAATTTAGACTTGTTTATATTTTTTCGTTTGGGCTTGTATTATATTTGCCTTCGGGTTTATATGATCCGTTCATCCTATTTTGACTCCTCAAAATTCAAGAGTCTATCCTAAATTGAGGTAAATTGTATGGCTTTCCAAATACCGTTTCCATTCCTAACATCACTGAAGAGACATTAATTGTCGAAATCCGGATATTTTGACTCCTCAAAATTCAAGAGTCTATCCTAAATTGAGGTAAATTGTATGGCTTTCCAAATACCGTTTCGATTCCTATTTAAGATCCATTTATTACATCGGTGATCCGTTTATTTGGCAATCGCCAATGGCAGTCAGCAGGGTTTAAGAACATTTGTTGTTCGACCTGTTAGTCAAATGCGTTTTGTTAAAATATACTTTTTCACTCTTTTGGTCTTTTGGAAAATGTTGTTTGTGCTGTATTTAGACCCCTCTAACAAGAAATTTGTTTTGCATGCACACGTATAAAAATTGCGGTTTTTATCCAACGCAATCATAGGTTTGAACGTTGTTTTCAATTTAGACTTGTTTATATTTTTTCGTTTGGGCTTGTATTATATTTGCCTTCGGGTTTATATGATCCGTTCATCCTATTTTGACTCCTCAAAATTCAAGAGTCTATCCTAAATTGAGGTAAATTGTATGGCTTTCCAAATACCGTTTCGATTCCTAACATCACTGAAGAGACATTAATTGTCGAAATCCGGATATTTTGACTCCTCAAAATTCAAAAGTCTATCCTAAATTGAGGTAAATTGTATGGCTTTCCAAATACCGTTTCGATTCCTATTTAAGATCCATTTATTATATCGGTGATCCGTTTATTTGGCAATCGCCAATGGCAGTCAGCAGGGTTTAAGAACATTTGTTGTTCGACCTGTTAGTCAAATGCGTTTTGTTAAAATATACTTTTTCACTCTTTTGGTCTTTTGGAAAATGTTGTTTGTGCTGTATTTAGACCCCTCTAACAAGAAATTTGTTTTGCATGCACACGTATAAAAATTGCGGTTTTTATCCAACGCAATCATAGGTTTGAACGTTGTTTTCAATTTAGACTTGTTTATATTTTTTCGTTTGGGCTTGTATTATATTTGCCTTCGGGTTTATATGATCCGTTCATCCTATTTTGACTCCTCAAAATTCAAGAGTCTATCCTAAATTGAGGTAAATTGTATGGCTTTCCAAATACCGTTTCGATTCCTAACATCACTGAAGAGACATTAATTGTCGAAATCCGGATATTTTGACTCCTCAAAATTCAAGAGTCTATCCTAAATTGAGGTAAATTGTATGGCTTTCCAAATACCGTTTCGATTCCTATTTAAGATCCATTTATTACATCGGTGATCCGTTTATTTGGCAATCGCCAATGGCAGTCAACAGGGTTTAAGAACATTTGTTGTTCGACCTGTTAGTCAAATGCGTTTTGTTAAAATATACTTTTTCACTCTTTTGGTCTTTTGGAAAATGTTGTTTGTGCTGTATTTAGACCCCTCTAACAAGAAATTTGTTTTGCATGCACACGTATAAAAATTGCGGTTTTTATCCAACGCAATCATAGGTTTGAACGTTGTTTTCAATTTAGACTTGTTTATATTTTTTCGTTTGGGCTTGTATTATATTTGCCTTCGGGTTTATATGATCCGTTCATCCTATTTTGACTCCTCAAAATTCAAGAGTCTATCCTAAATTGAGGTAAATTGTATGGCTTTCCAAATACCGTTTCGATTCCTAACATCACTGAAGAGACATTAATTGTCGAAATCCGGATATTTTGACTCCTCAAAATTCAAGAGTCTATCCTAAATTGAGGTAAATTGTATGGCTTTCCAAATACCGTTTCGATTCCTATTTAAGATCCATTTATTACATCGGTGATCCGTTTATTTGGCAATCGCCAATGGCAGTCAGCAGGGTTTAAGAACATTTGTTGTTCGACCTGTTAGTCAAATGCGTTTTGTTAAAATATACTTTTTCACTCTTTTGGTCTTTTGGAAAATGTTGTTTGTGCTGTATTTAGACCCCTCTAACAAGAAATTTGTTTTGCATGCACACGTATAAAAATTGCGGTTTTTATCCAACGCAATCATAGGTTTGAACGTTGTTTTCAATTTAGACTTGTTTATATATATATATATATATATCAAAAGTTCAGAAAAAGCTATCGCTAAAGATTTATTTTCCATTTTTCATGCCCATTTCATATAACCTTTTAACTGAATTTATAACTTCTTCCAAAGATTTGATATCCACATTTTAATCAATACATAATTTGAATGATCCGAAGGCAGACTATTTTCACCAATTTGTCTATCATGGAGTCTGTTATAATACTTCATAATTTGATGCTAAATTGTTGAAATCCAGGAGCTTCTGACCTTCCCAATGGACCCTATACCAGGGCAACCGGAATTACGCCTCCTGTTCATAAAATCCTGGCCTAGGACTATTGAAATGTAAAGTAACACCCTATACCCTAGAATTTGGAATTTCTCGTTATTGGTCTACTGCTGTTAAGATCCATCCAATCATTTTAATATACCATAGACAATTAGTGGAGAGAATTTGGCATAAAAAATATCAAACCCTGACACTTTAACTATAAAATATACATGCTCCAAGTCAAAGAACCGTTATATTAGTGCATTTCACAATTATTTAATGTTTTTTAGCCCAAAAAAAGTCCAAAAAATTTTCGTATTCTACGCACCCTCTTTCAAATATCCTGGAAATGCCCCTGTTAACCGTGCACTGTTTATTAAAAAGTCGCCTATGTACAACTAGACTGACGATCGAGTGTTGTCCTCTGGCTTGATACCTACGATGGTATTCTAAAATTAAACGGTCATTATGTAAAGAAAATTATTGTCATAAGACAGCATTGCATTATCATGTTAAATTTGTTCCCATCTTTGAAAAAATGTCCAGCGAAAGACAAAAATTAGTCACTATTGGAAAATATTTCATAGATTGATGAGTTGATGAAACTAATTAGCTTTTCATAAAATATATTTTTGTTGTTTATATAACAGTATGAAATACTTGCCTTACACAATATTTTCA